TCCTCCGTTACATGTAAACGCTGGTTTATAACGATGAAATATTACTTTATTTTGTGTTATATTTTGGGTTCAAATAAGGTTATATACCTAGTCTATCAAATGTTATGTGTTTAGCAAGAGAAAATATTTGTATAAGTTTTTATAATGAAATCCAACCCACAGGTTAGGCCTTGAATGATTCAACTTGTTTCTTCTAGGTCCGTTACCGATGAAGAGAATTGTACTGGGCATCTAATTTAAAAAAAAAACTTCTAGGAGTCGTTGAAGGGACGTTCCTATTTGTTGTGCCCACAAAGTTATTAAGTATTTCTCGTTTAGCGCAGATTTTTCTGTGTGTACACGAATCTTTGTTTGTATGTATACTAAAACAAAACTACCAACAAAAATAGTCCGGCAAATTATGTTTCTTAGCTTAGATTCAAATTGGAAAAGATAGATCCTTGAGTTGCAACTAAACGTGTGATTTTATAATTTCTCTTTTTCAATTTTACTTCGGGTTGTTGCAATATGTGACATTGTAAATGTTTTGACAATTTTTTTAATGTGCCAACCTTATATAAGCCCTCCTTAAAATGTTATTATTATTTTGTGCATGTATATCTGTTATCGTTGTAAAAAGTAGCTTATGTTACTCGCTGATAATGTAGTTTTCCATTGGTGAATGGTGAATGTTTAAAATCGTTGTAGTGGTTTACAAACAAAAAAAACAAACTCACTTTGACATTTATATATATATGTATGGCTTCATGTAGAACAAAGGAAGAACTTAAATTTAGATAGAGAAAATGAATAGGGCGAGAGAGCTAAGGTAAGAGATTCTGCAAATTTGGGATGGGAAATGGAACTAAGACTGGTGTAGCTGGAAGAGACCAAGGTCAGGTATATGTAGTAACGGTAAACAAAGTACCCAGTCAGTAGTACAAAGTACCGGCGGTTTTAATAAAATGTTACTAGAGAAATCGAAACGTAGAATAGTTTTGAAACCACGATAAATATATAAATACCAATAGCAACAATTATTAGTTTCAAATCTGTGACTGTTTTTTTTAATGATTTTTTGGCAGATTATTTTATATAAATACTTAATATTTACTTACTTAATACTTACTTACTTACATACTTAGTATAATATTAAATCTCCTTGTTTTTTTTTTTTTTTCAATCTTTATTTAAGGAGTTTTATCCAACAGGATAATGCCACTCCATTGGGCCAATTCACTAACATATTTTACATAGTTTCTAATCTAAATAATATATAAGTCTACATAAGGTTATCAACATAGGATCGTCTTCGCAAACCTATGTTAACAATTTGATATAGTAGTGTGGCTGCTGTAGATAGCGGATATGATAGAATACAATTGCATCTGCCTACTTCTCTTAAATTGGTAATATCGTGTAACATTACACTATACCTAATGTCCTCGTTCCGAACACATTCCAGCACAATATGTAAAACATCTTCCACAATTCCACACTCTGTACATAGAGGAGACCGAACTTTCTTCATTAGAAATGCAAACTTATTAAGTGGAATATGCCCAGATCGAAGTCTAAAAGCCGTGGTTAAGACATCACGTCCCAATGTACAATTACCGAACCATGGTTTATCCCAAGGTTCACTTTGAAGTGTCCTATACCATATCCCCTTATCAACAGATCTCTTATCGAAGTGTACCTTCCACAACTCATGACAATAAACTTTAATTAAATAAATGCAATCAGAGAATACTGGTAAAACATGTAAAGGTTCGCCATCGCTTGAAGCTTCTTTCGCTATTCTGTCGACTGTTTCATTTCCCACCAAGCCAATATGAGAAGGGATCCATTGCAAGATGACTTCTTTAGAGTTAGATTTTAATTCCAATAATAATTTAAGGATTTTGTAGGCGATCGGTGACCCTCTTAAAGAAGAGGTAATACGAGCCACATGTTGTAGGGAACTCTTTGAGTCAGTCAAAATTACAAAGTTTTTGTAGTCTATGGATTTAATATACACTAATGCCTGCAATATAGCAATTAGTTCAATGTACATAATGGAAATATTATTACCGATTTTGAATTTACACGATAGTTCAGACTGTGGGTCGAAAAATGCCGCTCCCATAATATGCTCGCTTGAACCCGCCCTTGAACCGTCAGTAAATATTTTGTAATGTGAGTTATACTGACTGTCCAAAAACAAGGAGCACTTACGACGTAGCGATGTAGGATCGTATTCTCTTTTGGTTTGTATTCCTTCGATTTTATGATTTATAATGCCATTCACATCATACCAGCTCATCCAATAATCCAGCGTATACATGCCCAATTGTTCCTCGGAATGAACGTTAACATCCTTAAATTTAGAGTAAATTTGAATTAAAACTGGAATTTTCTTTCTACGGCGCCAATATCTTAGATTAATATGGCCATTCAGTTCGCAAATAACATTTACAGTAGGGTTATTAGAAATAGACATAGACCGAAACCACGCCTTGCCAGCTAAATAAATACGGCGAACATGTAAAGGCTGTAAGCAAAGCTCGCTCTCCATCACATGGATAGGAGTGCTTTTCACAAAACCACCTATTATTCGCATAGCTTGATTCTGAAGCTTATCTAATTTAAGTAATTTTGAATGACAGCTAATATCATAAAGGTAACTACCATAATCTAAACGGCTTCTAACAATGGATATGTATAATCGTCTAAGATGTTTAGGATGAACGCCCCATCCAGAACCAGCTAGCACTTTGAAGACATTAAGTAGTTTATGGGTTTTCTCGTATAAAACATTGATGTGTTTGGACCATCTCAAGGAGGAGTCCAGCCACATCCCTAAATATTTTACACTACTAACATCTTGCAGTGGTGAACTGTGAATTGAAATGGAAACAGTTTTTCTATTAATCCCTCTTTTAAAAATGCACATTTTACTTTTTGTAGAAGATACACTTAATCCTAAGTTTTCTAAATAAACAACTAATTTATTTATGGCTACTTGAAGTATTTTACTTGCATCTTCTAAGCTTTTATTGGATATGTACAGGACGAAGTCGTCAGCGTATTGTGACATATATACTTCACCTATGGTATTAAATATGGAGTAGGTGGCAATGTTGAAAAGCAATGGCGATAGTGGGTCACCTTGAGCAAGACCTAGGCCTGTACATCGTGCTATAAAACCATGGTTGTTTTTAATTTTTAAAGTCCTAAAACTAAGAAAGTGCCATAAATAATTACAAACTTGTGATCCAACACCTGCCTTATCCAATATATCCAAGAGTGAAACTATATTTATATTATTGTACGCGTTATCAATATCAATAAAACACGCCAAAGTGGTAAGATCTCTTGAGAATCCCGTCTGGATCCTTGTTACAAGTCTAATTAAACTATCTAAGCATGATTTAGATTTTCTAAAGCCTACGGTTTCTTTCGAAAACACCCCTTTATTTTCAAAGTACCACTCTAGTCTTCTGTTAATTATTGTATGAAATGTTTTACAAACGCAAGACATTAAACTAATTGGACGCATAGATGAAATCAGAGAGGGGTCGCGGTCAGGTTTTGGAATTGGAACTACGCAAATATCTCGCCATTGCAATGGTGTGAAACCTGAAGTTAAATACTCATTAAAAAGTTTTAGCAAAATACACTTTGCGTTTTTAGGTAAGTTTTTTATCATAGAAAAATAAATATTATCACAACCCGGGGCTGTATCGCTAGTCTTAATGCCAGACTCTAATTCATTTAAAGTTATAGGGGATTCTATTTTAGGGTTACGCGAAGTAAATATAGGCTTGTCAGGCAATACATAAGCAGGACATAAATTGCCTAACAAAAGCTCGATTCTAGAACTATCTACATGTGTATTAGCGGTTTTGTTTCCTTTAAGCCATTTCATCTTCCTCCACATTTCGCTAGCTGACGAAACTGATTCTAAAGAGTTACAGAATTTGCACCAGCTATCTGATGATGCCTTCCTTATTAGTATACGTGAGTCTCTAATGCACTTATTAAGCGTTGTCAGATTCGCCGGAGTAGGATTTTTCCTAAACTGTGATAAGGCTAATCTGCGTTTGGCAACAGACTGCGACAGGTTAGAATTCCAGAATGGCTTAGGGGAAAATTTACTAGTTGGGTTTAAATTGACTTTTACGTATGGAATAAACTTGTCTGCAGCTACATTTATATTATCAATAACATTATTATATAGCTGTTGAGGCTCGTTAACTAGATTAAAATTAGAAAACGTACTCTCAAGGAAATTTTTATAGCTCTGCCAGTCAGCTAATTTTAAGTTACGTTTTCTCAAACTATTAGGGATAAAAGTAATCGAAGTGGAGAGAGTGATTACAAGATGATCACTACCTAGAGATTCATTAGTAACTTCCCAGTTAAAAAAACATGAGATATCAGAAGTAGCAAACGAAACATCCGGCGAACTGCATTGTAAGATTCCCGAGACTAGCTTAATGCGTGTGTGGCTGTTATCATTTAAGGAAACAAAATTACTATTAGCTAACGAATTAAATATCTGAGTTCCCCTAACGTCTGTTTTATATGACCAAGTAAAATGGTGTCCGTTAAAGTCACCTAAAACTAAGGATTTGTGATTAAACTTGTAGAATAAATCCTCCCAGTCAGTTTGGCGGGTATGTACCCATTGAGGACAATAGATCGCAATTATATTTTCAATACGTCTGCAGTTAACAATCTTAACCTGTAATACTTGAATGTCTTCGTTATTTAGTACAATTGGACATATTTGAGCTTTAACAGATTTGTGTGTTATGATACTGACCCCCCCATAATTGTCTTGCCGGTCGATTCTAAAAATATTGTAATCCCGAATTTTGATGCTACTATTTTGATCAAGCCACGTTTCACAAACAACTGCTATATGTACCTTGTTTTGTATTAGTAGGTTTTCAAATAATAACAACTTTGGTCTCAAACTTTGCGCATTCCACTGTAAGATATTGATAACGGTATTATAAGTTGCATTGTTAACACTAGCCATTCTGTGAGTTACAAGTAATGCCAAACATTTTCTTAAGTAAAGACAAATCCGTAATATTAGCAATAACAGTCGATACAAACCATTGTAAAATAATTCTAACAGTTAAATTAATCTTTTTGAACCAATCATATCTTTCAGAAACTATTATCCGTTTAATTTTGTTTAATGAGGGCTTAAATGAACAATTAGAAAATAACATTTCCGGGTTCGACTGCATATTATTATGTTCTAATCCCTCGGCCGTACAGTTGCGCGTATTTGTTTCATTCTCAATATTATTGTGTTGTTCACTTGCGTCCTCGCTGCGACGTCGGCATCGCCGCCGGCGGCCACGGTGCGAACTGTTCGCTGCCTCAGTAGCAGGGCGCACGCCGTCAGCGACGGATGAGCGCTCCCCGCCATCCGACATGCATGACTCCGACGACAATGACTCATCGTGCAGTAGTCGCTCCGATGAGCAACGCTGTTTACGTTTGTTACTTCTGTGAAAGTCCTTTTCCATCTTGTCATGCTCCTGCTTGCCATTTGCTGCCACTACTGCAGCATATGACCTATGGTTTGAAATACCTTGTGTATACGTACCGCTGTTAAAGGTGTTTGGGTGGGAATTAGATGTAGTTTTTTCAAACTGTTCATTATAGCGAGGTGAAAAAGGTGGAACGTACATTGTTAGTGCCCGACGGTATGTACAGTTAAATTCCGACATTAACGCCCTAATTTTCTTTTCTTTAATAAAGGCAGGACAAGATTTGACTAAAGCCATATGGTTGCCTCTGCAGTTGACACATGTGTAGGAGGAAGTTTCACAATTTGGGTGATTCTTACCGCATTTGGGGCAAATAATTTTCAAGGACGGGCATACTTTTATTGTGTGCCCGTAACGCCAACAACGCGAACATTGGGTAACTGGAAACACATAAGGTACAACGGCGACATTGACGTCGTATATTTTAATGTACGGTGGGAGGTAGTTTCCTTTGAAACAAATACGTACACTCTCGCTTAGGGACCACCCAGATTCATAATCTCGCCGCTTTAGCCGTTTTGCTGATAGAATCTCAAATCTGTTATCTCTTTTAATGCACTCTAATAGTTCTAAATCAGATAATTCTAAATCTATTTGCCTGATAATACCGTAGGACACATTTTTCTCCCACGTTTTCTGAACTCGCCATTCCTTTTCTTTAAAATTTTGACATTCTAATAACTTCGCGGCGCTTTCCTCGTTATCACAGCTGATAATAACTCTATAAGAATTCATGTACTTAACACGAGTAATTCCTGTTATATATTCGGAATTAAATAATTTGGCTAGCGCAAATTGTTTAGGTAACTTCTGTATACTAGAAATACTTATCTCAATCGTTTCAATTCTTCTCCTTTTTTCATTATTGCCAACTACTGTCCAGTTTTCGTCATTATCGTCCTCCTGTTCTTCTGTAATATGTACATTTTCCTCATCATTGTGTTGTTGGTTCTCATCCTGAATCATGATATCTTCCTCCATACCACTTTCTCCTATACTAATGTTCTCTATAGCTCCTCTATTTTCGTCTAATATATTCTCACTCATATTTTATATATATATGCATCGACGGTGCGCGTACGCGCCGGCGATAGGCAGATAGTAAATACCGATCACTGCACAATTATTAGCTTGCTATACGCACGTCCTAATCGCTCAACGAGAGAATGGACACTCAAATCTCCTTGTTAATAAATATTACCTATGTAGTTTTAATTTAAATACACCTTTTTTTGAATTTGTACGCCGTAAAAGAAACGGCTAAACACGTTGGAACAAATTTTTTTTTAATACCTCGCATGTCCGTTGCTTATGCACAGACATGTTTAAAGAAATAAATGAATTGATTTGAAGAAACGAATTATTTACAATTCACACACATGTAAACGTATAATAGTATAGTTACCGGAATAATACACACATGTAAATAAAGCCCGGTATATTGTTTGTCGTGTGTACATATGTACTTCCCGTGATTAGATATACCGCTTTGATAGAGACAATAATTGACATATGGCGTAATATAACTAAAGGTATAAATTCTCACAAACTTTTTGTTTAAGCATGAGTTTATTTTTACACTGCAATAGTGTGTAACTTTGGCACATATAATAATATTTTCTGAAATTTAACAGCTTCAAACTAAGCAGAGCTTATACTATGAAAGCTGGATTGACTAAGCTATGGGTTAAGCTAGAGTATTACCAGGGCCTCACAGAAAACCGATCAAACTCAGCAGTTCTTTCGTTGCTTTTCACCGAGTGAATGAAATTACAAGAGTCAAAACCCTACGCCTGTTTCTGGAGGAAGAAACTGAAAGGACGGAAGGAAATTTGATTATAATAAAAAAAAAATGTATTATTATCAGATTTAACCTCCCTTCTAAGGAGAGGCCTATGTCCAGTAGTGGACTATTAAGGGCTGATGATGATGATGATTCAAAAAGTTCCGACATGAATATATACTTTGATGTTGTACGTATATACACATTATATGTTTATATCATATATAAAGGTTGTCTCAATATGAGTGCACTTTATAAATTTAGAATCATTTTTTTTGTACAATTCACGCGTACAAGATTCAGCTAACTCAGAAGCTCAAACCAGCAGAGCATGGAAAGCGCCGGCAATTCTTTCAATGGGTAATGGTAAGTGAAGTCGATGCCAATTTTTCGAAAAAGGTCGTCTACTCCGATGAAGCGCATTTCCATCTTAATAGCTACGTTAATACACAAAATTGTCAAATGTGGGACTCAGAAAATTCTCTTGCAATCCATGAAAAACAGATGCACCCACTACGAGCAACTGTCGGGTGTGGATTTTGGTCAGGCGGCGTGATTGCGCCTACTTTTTTTTAAGATGAGGCCGAAATTGCAGTGACTGTGAACGGCATTATTTACAGGAATATGATGAGTTTTTGTGGCCTCAACTGGACGGCATGGATCTGGACAACATGTGGTTTCAGCAGGACGGCGCCATCTGCCACATCGCGCATGAAACATTCGACTTGTTGCAGCAAAAATTTCCAGAACTTTAACTCACGAAATTCTGATGTCAACTGGCCACCAAGGTCGTGCGTTTTAACGCGGTAGGTTTTTTCTTTTGGGTTTTGTGAAATCTTGGGTTTATGCGAATAAAACAGAAACAATTCCTGACCTCAAATCTAAGATGCAGCGCATCATCGGTGAGATACGGCCACATCTCTGTGTAAAAATTATGGGAAATTTCATGAAAAGAGTAATGTCCTGTCATCAGAGACGTGGGGGCCATTTGCCGGATATTTTATTCCATACTTAATCGGAACATGTATTGTCTTCGTTACAATCTAATAAAAATATCACAAATCTTGCATAAAATACGTGTTTTTATTTTGAAATGAAAAAGTGCACTCTGAGACATCATCATTGTCATGATTTTCAACACAAACTCAACTCTCGTGTAAACGGGGCCAATATAAGTAGATACTTATATTCAGAGGTGTCGGTAACGGTAACGGCTCAATAGATTTTCCCATCTCAAAAAATTTATTCTTTTGTTTGTTGTTCAAAAATGCCCAATGCGCCTAAAAAAGCTTTCACTTAAAATATTGAATTGTAAATTGTCTGTATTTTAAAGACAATGAGCAATTTAACAGTGATTCAAAGTTTCGTTTTAATATCTCTGACTTACTAAATAAATAAACAGATTCTATATGTTACTATTTACTTTAATATTCTTTATGTGTCCTTTATACTGCTTCGATAAATTCACAGCTACAATGATAAATTGGCAAGGCATTTCCCCTGGATCACGATTAGGCAAATAAAATTCTCTCCCTCCTTTATGGTACCAAGTTGTATACCCTCGTTTTCCCTAAATACGTGAGATGAATAACGTTATTTTGGGTTCATCGACACCTCAGGAAACCATGGCAACCCTTAATTATTCCTATTGTTAACTTTGTTAGAGTGGTTTCGATAAATCTTTGCGCAACCTGCATAAATATTCCAGATGCGAAGAGTTATGAGAGAAACCAAAAGTATTCAATTTTTCGGGTATGTTTTTCTTTTATAAAAAATCTCTGTGTACAACTGTACTGTACTGTGTGTTCTTTAGGCGTGTTGGGCATTTGTAAACAACAAACAAAAGAATGCATTTTTTGAGATTGGAAAAACCATTGAACTCGCGACACTGTTACCGTTTACACGAGAGTTGAGTTTGAATTGTAATACATTGATGTTAATATAAACGTATATTGTGTATATATGTAGAACATAGAACGTGTATATACGTAGAACATCCATGTCGGAACTTTTTGAATCGAAAAATCAAATTTGTTCGTGTTATAATCAATTTTTTTTAAATTTTCATGTTTTTCAATTGACTCATTTTCATTGAACTCTTTATTTAACTAGCGACACTATTACTGTTATCGACACCTCTGCATATTAGTATCTACATACATACATACATTGGCCCCGTTTCGACAAGAGTTGCGTTGAGAGAGCGTTTGGGTTGAAATGCATTCATAATATAACTATATATAATATATTGTGTATATACGTACAACATATATATATATATATAATATAAATTCGAAAAAAAACAATACAAAATCTGTTATAATAAATTCTTTCATCAACGAAAAGCAACATTAACAGCGAGTAACATGGGCTATTTTTTACCGCCGGAGCCACGGGCAAAACCTAGTTATTTATAATTCTAAATTGGAGCCACAGGGCCCTACGGAAAATAAAAGCGTAGTAGTATCCGTACATGGAAAACAGATTTAGGTATTGTTTTTAAAAGGCATTGCACAGAGATTAGAGTTGATGTCATCATACATACATTATTTAAAATTATGAAACTACGCAGAACAACAGCACTGCAGAGAGGAGGAAACTTGACACAAGCCCTATACCAACCCGTCTGGCCAGCGTGGTATAGTAGGCCAAAACCTCCTTTCTAAGGAGAGGCCTATGTCCAGCAGTGGACTATTAAAGGCTGTTGATGTGAAACAATATTCATATAAATGTATAAAGTTAATCCGTGGTCTGAAATCCATATCAAAGACTTTATATTTTCGAAGTCAAAAAACTAACGCTGAATCGCTTACTTCACCATAATGAAATTAATACTGCATTAAAATATAATCCATAACCATAAAAATAACAAAACCAATCCGTGGAAAAAATATCGTCTGCGATTTTGCCAAACGTATACGACGTTCAAACCTTAAAGAAAAGAGCGCACTGCTTCCTCAAAGGCCAGCAACGCGCTTGTGACACCTGAGTTGCAGGCTTCCATGGGTGGCGGTAGTCACTTTCCATCAGGTTACCCATCTGCTAGATTACCCCTCTTCCATTAAAATAAAATAAAAAAATTAAAAACCTTATTTTTGTGACGTAACCTCAAAATAAAGCAGCCATTCTGGAGCGTTCCCTCACTACAATTTTGTATCTCGCAACACTCGTATTTATCGAGTTGACAGGTGACAGATTAAGAACGCGTCGCCTAAGGCTGCGAGTCCTGCAGGACAACTAGACACCAGTCTGTCAGCCTGAAATGCCTTGGAGATATTACAAAAACGATAAGGAGCGATAGCGATTTGAGTTAAAGTTTCATTCTGAAATGTGTGCGCTAAGGTTGCGCTAAAACATT